CACCAAGTTTGCATCATGCACCCTCCTGTCCTGGCAAGAAAAATATGACATTAAAGACAGAAGAATCAGGGATATGCAGAAATGGGACCAGTCATTTGGCCTGTTTCCCATTCATAAGCCACAGGGAAAAGCAGCTCCAGCTCAGAGAAGGAGCTGGCTGCATGTACTGTGCCAGGTGACATTTTGCTCCCCCAGGCTTCTGCTGCTGAAAGATATTCATATATTTACAACCTTTCTTAAGGTCATCTCTGCTGTGTCTCCAGCTGAGCCATTAAATATTAATTGGACTACTTTCCAAAAATAAAAAGCAGAATCTCTGATTTACTTGTGTAATTAACACTTCCCACAAACCAGGTGTCCTTCTGAACCAGACTGAACAAGCCATTTGCTCTTCAAAATACTGAAATATGCTATGTGCTTTTGAGACAGACACACATTCCATCTGCACAAGGGCAGGTAATTATTGGGGGGGGTAAAAAAGCACCTCAAATACGACAGAAAATATGTCCTCTAAGTAATGTAATCAAACTTTCCCACTCACACTAGATAGTTCTCTTCAGTTTGTATTTTGTGTTTGATTTTTTTTTTAAGCCTTTCACATAGGAGGGCTTAAATATCTTGTTATAGGTATTTTTTTTTTCAATAAGGCTCAATGCTGCTAAATTTATTAAAGGGCTCAAATTTTAACCCACAGTTGTAAAAGAGCATGATCAGTCTCTGGTCATGTCCAAGCACTTGCATTAAGAAACTTATATTGTCGCTTAAAATCATAAAGCCATTTAAGTTGGAAATTACTTTTGAGCTCATGGTCTCCAGCTGTAAACAGATTTAACCATGTAACAAGCCTAACATTGCAATTAGCTCTGAAATTTAAGTTCAATACCAGCATTACTCAAGTTAAGACAAGATAAATATGTATTCAGTAATCACTGAGCTGCACAGATTATTTGCAGAAGTTTATTAGATGCTGAGTTACCCAGATGAATAACGTGTCTGCTCTTCAGTGAGGCTAAGGAATTTGTGGAGAGAAAATTCACAAATTTGAGGTCCTTGGTGCTCAGCTGCCATCTAAGCTCAGAGACACTAAAGTTCTCATCCAAGAAAACTAGTTTTGTAGTGAAGCACATCCATCCTGTCGGGATTTAGCAGGCTGGGAGCCAGCTCATACCTAAATCTTTTGGGAATCAGTCTAAACAATACTTTGACTTTATTGCCTCAGAAACTCAGTCTGTCAGTCTCAGAGCTTATGTGGAAAAAAAAAAAGCTTTATTTTCTTTATGAAGAGGTGACCCTCTTTTTCATAAATGAATATCAGAGCACTCACCTATTAAAATATTAAAATGAGGCACACAGACTCCATTTCCTCCTGAAAAGGCAGATTCAAAATGCCATCCTGGATCTCGCCTGAGAATATCCAAATCATCAGGCTTGGAAATATTTTGGTGAATATGTGTTAAGAATTAAAGTTTAGTATCTCCTCATTTGCATGGACTGATTAAAGGTTTGTTGTGCTGCAGAATTTATACCCTGCCTGCCATTAGGTGGAGGATGTCATTCAGGGGAAGTGCAGTTCTCTGCTCCAGTCTTTGCAGACAAAACACAAGTTTGGAGAAGAGGAGAGGACTTTGTGAATTTGAATTGCAACCAGGAGCTGAAAACCCACAGCCCTGGAAATTTCTAGGGGCCCTACTTCTTTGAGAAATTTTCTTGTACACTCTTTTAAGAACTTGCCATCCTTTCCCCTCAGCCACAGGTGGGTGAGACAGCACCTCCTGCTAAGGAAATCAGGCAGGTCCTGCTAACCCCTGTGGCATTTCCACCTCCCCAACACAGTGGCTGAGTATTTGCCTATCTCTTGTCTCTTAGCAAAGGCCCTTGGGCAGGAAATCCAGATGAAGTCTGCTAGAGCACTACCTCTGAGTTGGCAAGAGGCCATTTTGGATAACACACTTCAGCTCTGTTGGAAATCTGCTCCAAACAAAACCATGCTGTCAGGACTGTGTACCCCCTGTTTTACCTAAAATGTCAATGTGTCAGGAAGAGGGAATCCACAGCCCCTGCTGAATGTTCCCATAGTGTAAGATATATGTAGCACTAGATCCTTGGATACCTTCTGTGGCATTCCAGAGCAGTGGGGGCAGAGTGTGGGTTCCTCCAGCTCCTCCTGCCCCTCAATAAAACACAGCATGAAGAATGGAGCACAAACCTCATGAGTTCTGCCTGTGTCAGGGAGCCAAGGGAATGAAAGTGACACCTCTCACTGGATGTTTCCAGCTTTGTTAGAAAAGTAGAGCAAGACCTTCTCTGGCGGGGAGTGGGTGGTGAGAAGAGGAGAGAAAGGACAAATTTACCTGCATATTGAGCAGGGGGAGGTGCCTTTTGGTAGCGCTAAACGAGGCTGTTGAACTCCATTGCAAATCGGGACTGAGAGCACTACGGCCCTCCTTGCCCTTGCTTAGTTTCTGGTCTGCAGTGATGTAGATCTTGGCTTCCTAATTCCATGTGGAAATTAAATCTAAAAGATGTTCTGCAACACCTAGTGCAGGCTCAATTATTTTTTTCCCATTTAGACCTGAGCACCTCCAGAAATACTCAATGTTTAGTGAGACTGAGAGATATTGTAAGGTATACACCCTCAACTGTCATATGTAAGCATCATTAATTAGCCTAATAGCAGAGGCAGCATTTTTAACAAGGTTCTGTTTTCTACCTTCAAAATGTGGCTTATAGCTTATTAGCTTTAGAAGTTTATTACTCCAATAGCTTTAAAGTTTATTATTTTTTTCTCCTCTACCGTTTTCTCTAATAATAATGCTTTATTTCATTTGTATGTTTTGAAGGTGACAACTTAATACACTTAACTGTATGTAACATATTCTTTTCCCAAAGTGAAGACCATTTTGTTTAGGAAACCAAGGGTAAGCTAACAACTGTAGGTATCAGTAAACTCATGTTTATTCATGGACAGCTACTGTAGGCTATTAAAACTTTTTGGCACAAAACTGACTAAAAAATTACTGAAAATTTAGCATCCCTCCCACTCCCCACAGAGTTATCAGGTCCTTATGTTGCAGCTGAAATGAGAGACTGAAACATCAGGTTTTTCTAGCAGCATGGAAGAGGGGGAGGCATGGGGAGACAGGAAGACATTTAGACTGAAAAGATTCCACAGACAACTTTTTTTTTTTTTTTTCTGAAATACTGTATTTACACAAAATTGAAGAGAGTACAAATACTTTACTAAGAAGACAAAACCATTATAGTACATTCAATTTAAACACAGGCAGAACTATAGATGCAAAGCACAGAGGCCTAAGGTATTTGCATGGGGAAAATAAAAAAAAAAAAAAAGAGCATCATAAAGGCCCCAAAGATTAAAAGCAGGAGGTAAGAGAACACTGTATTTGTTAGGCAGCATCATCTTTCTTTGACTTCAGTGGGATTGAACAAGACACTCTCTTTCCTCACTGTGGATGGTGGGAAAAACCCTCTCAATGTGCTGACAGCTCAACACTGATTTTGCAAAACAGTTGAGTGTGTACTTAATTTTCAGCCTAGAAATAGAACTGTTAGCTTCAAAGAAAATTGTATTTGTGCTAATCACATGCTTATATGCTTAGTTTGACCAGAAATAGCCTTTTCAATGCTTTATAGGGTCAAGTGCATTGTTACATAAAAATAAGAGTACTTTACTGTCATCTTTCTTTTTTATTTTTCTTAAAATATACTTTAGAATTGCTTTACTTTCTCCCTTATGTACTCAATTAGAAAATAGTAGTTTATTGAATGCCATAGAATTCTTAAATTTTAATAAATGTCTTACATAATCAAAGGAATATTGTTCAAAAATAATTCCTACATTTTTTTCCAAAACCTGTTTAAATTTAAAAAGAAATAAAAGAGAAAAATACATATGATAACAAAGCAGCTTTATATTTCTGGGCATTTGGCAGCAGGTCTGTTATAATATTTCTGACATCTCTTGTTTTCAGTTAAAATCACTAGATTAATTGATCATTATTAAAGAAAAGATTGTACAGTATTATGACAATCCACCATATATAGCCAATGCATGAAATACTTTACATTATATATCCCTTAGAAAGAATTAATGTATTTTAGCCTTTCCTTTGAAAACAGATAGCTTCTGAAGTAATATATCTTAAACACAATGGTATCTGTCACTTCTACTGATGTTTTTATTTTGAATAAAAAGCTTGCTTGAATGGAAGTATTAGCTCAGTGGTGAAACTACAGTGCTATTTAACTAAATTCCGTACATGTCTTCGTTACTGTTGCTGCAATTATTGTAATCACATACCACTGAAGTGCTAAATATTACTCAGATATGTGAACTTTGGTTATGCTTGATAGAATACTGGCATATCAAATATATATATGTACCACTTCCTAAAGGCTATGTTACAATCATGATGCCTAGTAATAAATAATAATAATAATAATAATAATAATAATAATAATAATAATGACAATCTCAGATTCAAAGTGCTGACTCACTTGAGGCACCAATACAATAAATCAATTAAAATATCTATTTTTGATGTTCAAAACCAATAGCAGATCCTGGGCTGCCAAGTTACATGTGCAGCACGGAGGACTCTGAACCTGTCCTTCCAATGTGGGAATTCCTGTGCTCCCAGAAGACTCTGGAATGTCATGTTTGATATGGAATGCTCCAAGACATACCAAGTCTTCACACATGAAACATTAAGAGCTATCTAAGCTCCTCTAAAGCCTCAAAAGGCTCTCTCAAAACCCCTCAAGCCAACTCTGTTCACTGGGGAAAAGGCTTTGCCATGAATTGTGCTTGGCTGCAGACCAGGGAAGAGCCTTTTTATGAAAGTCCACGATGCAATGTGTCACATTAATGCAGCCTTCACACCCTGGAGACTGTCACCACTGTCAGCAGGAGAGGAGAAAGGCAGTTTTCCAGCAGCAGCAAACACCTGTCTCCCTGGAAGGGGAGTGCTTTCCTGTTGTCAGTTTGTTCTGTGCAAGCAGTAATCGTTTTCGGTGTCGAGAGAACTGTTGTACCCCGATGACGGATACAGGTCCCTCTTCAGTATCCTGTTGACGATGTTGATCAGAACTTTTTTGTACTGTTGACGTAAAAGTGAGTAAACAAACGGATCCGATGCAGCCTTACTGTAGGTGAGGCACTTGCTTATAATTCCCCAGTAGTAATTTATGGTAACAAAAGGAATGAGCTCTATCAACCTGTTAAACATTAAAGAGAAATGGAAACACTTGAGTGTTATATTCACACTGAGCCCAGTGCTCAACACATGCTTCATGAAACATTCAAGTACCATTTATTTTCTTACAGTACACAGTCCCTGCAGGAGAAGGGCCATGGACTTACTCCTCACATTCAATAGGGGCAAAGAAAACTTTCCTAGCAAGGCCACTGGGAGACAAAATCAATTCCTACTATGGAAAGAGGGAAAAACTGTTTTCAGTGGTAATGCTTCTGTACAGAGGAGAGAAGAGAGTGCTGCAGTTTAGTGTTCACTTTCTGAATTTACTGAGCTGTGCTGGTAAGTGGTCAAAATTGTGGTGACGTAATTGACTACCTCTCTCCCATAGCAAGCTTGAGATAGACACATGTGACTCAGGGCAGTTTCCTGAGTAGAGCTGTCTATTGACACTTGAGATGTTTGGACAAGACCCCATTGGCATCAGGCTGCTGCTCCTGGAAGGTCCTGTGGCACATCTGCCAGCCTAGGTAAAGGACTTGGATGCCATGCAGCATCTCAAATGACACCAGAAATGTGGTCTAGGTCACTGAATCCATCCCCTCAGACCAGACCAGAGAACCTTCATTACCCCACTGTGGTGAATCAACACGGATGCAAAGCAGATTCATTTTACACCACTGCAGAATGAAAAACAACCTGGCAGTATCTCAGGGAGGTCTGGCTGGCACCTGCAATCCCACAGTATGCTTAGCAGCACACCTACAGCTACTTGGCCATGGAAGTTTTTGTGTGCATTTGGCTGACTTCTAGATTGGCCAAAGAAAACAAGGAGACAACAATTTTATCATCATTATATGACCAGTCAGCTGTGTCCAGACCTGTGTCTCCTGGTCTGTGCTTCACAGATTAGTGGCCTCAGCACCTCAGCTGAGAGGGATGCATTAATCATGGGGGCAGAAACCACAACTAAGTTAAACATTTTTTCCACAGAAGTGAGGACAATCCTTCAGACCATTCCAGCAAATATCTCACCCAGCACATCTGCAAATCCTCCAGGACGGTGGAAAGAACAGGGTGAGGGACTTTTATTTTGTGTATATCTTTTGTAGAACCTTTCGCAGGAGCAAGAGTATCCTACTTTGCTCTATTCATCCCAGAAGAAAAGAAAATGTTCTGGGAGATAAAACAGCCTTTTTCTGTACTCTAAGACATCACTGTTTGAAGATGTAAGATGAGAAGCTTTCTCAAGGCTTGAAGAACCTTCTGTCCTCTTTCCAAAATGCAGAGCTCCTGACTTTCAGGGCGTTGACTTTTGAAGCTGTTCCAGTCCCTCCTCATAGAAAAGCTGACTTATCATCATTTGGACTGAACATTGCTACAAGTGACAGGAAAATTCCTTATTTATATGTCTAAGAGTAAAATCATTATTATGTCAAGTGCATTTAAAAAAACAGATGACTTCTATTTGAAGTTGCTCAGAAAAAGTTCCAGTGAATTCAAAATAAGTAGAATAGGAAGATACAAAATATGAGAAAAAAATGTACAATAAATGACACTTGCTACTTGCTTAAGTTTATCCCATCCTGCATATCATCCTAATACAAGAAATATATAATTGATATTTATAAAATTGATGTTTTTATAAAGACACTAAATAAGAAGAGTAAGATATCTTTCAGTCTTGAAAATAAATGTATTTCTGTGTTCCCATTTATGCATTATGGATCTTAACTTAATTGCACTGAAGCCAACAGAAGAAAAATTACACAGATTTTAATAAGATAAAGGATCTGGACAAAACTAGTCAGAAATACCCATCTGAATGCATCTTAGTATGATTTTCATGTTTTCAGTGCTGTTACAAAAGAGATTAAATTCATCTGTCGTCTCTTAGTGAACAGACGAATATATTGCTAATGAGCTTAATCTCATTCAAATTTCTGAAGTGAGGAGCAAATACTGAGCTCACAATGCAACCTGAGTCACCAGGCCAAGAGCAAGACAACAGTGAGGATGGCTTTTACATTGCCTCCCCAGAGAACGCTTCAGTGCCACCCCCTAAAAAAGCAGAATGAGAGAAGAACAGAGAATCAGGCATGGCAGCAAGTCCTCCAATCTCACCTCCATTACCAGTTTTCATAAAGTGCTGTCTTGGCACTCTCTTGTCTTTGAGACAAGAAGCCTTTTAGGATATCCTGCCCAAATACTTCCCATTCTGCTGTCGCTGAACCAGCTCAGTCCCTGTGACAGCTGTACCTTGACACACATTTCCATAAACTAGTCCTCAGCCTTCTCTCTAGTGATTCAGTGGGTACCAGTTTGTCACACATAGAAAATGCACCATCTCACGTTTGCCAAATGCAAGGTCTGAAGAGGGAAGTAACTTTTATTGCAGAAGTTTATGAGAAATACCTTCACCCTGAAAAATGTGGCCACATTTGGAATTTGCTGAGCTTCATAATGTTCAGATGGAAAGAAGATGGCAAAATCCACTTTGCTCAACATAATTACATCCTGATTATGGCAAAAGTGAATAGAACATGACTCAAAATGTACTGAACAATGATAAACTGACCTTTTAACTATGTGATGTAATGTTAATATTTGTAATAATCCTTTCAACTGCAGAAAAAAAGATGTAGTTATCCAGGCAATCAGGAAGGAATACCTTTCAACATGTAAATGGGAACTGAAATAAATGTAACTTTAAAAATGTTAAAAATATTGTCTGTTTAGTGCACTGGCCTTAACCTGTCCCCTACTCCTCTCAGAAAAGGGCAGTGGCTCTGTATGTGTGTGACTGTAAGACAGAGCACTAAAGCTGGACAGCTTCTGTGAGCTGGTGTGGCTGCAGACACTGGCAGCTTGGTAACAGCCTTGAAGAAGCGCTCTCCAGGGGGTTTTGCACACTAGTACATGTCCCCCAACACCAGTCAGCACTCTTCAAGGCTGTCTGGAACACACTGGGAAAGTGGGAAATATATTTTAAAATCACTTGTGAAAGATGTAGCCCATTTCAGTTTAGAGATGAAAGTTTGAATGCTGGGATGCTGCAATTCTGTGTAGTTACACTGACTTCCAGCTCACTGGTTTACACAAGATTTAAAAATAGTAATAATCATCTATTGTATGAAGACTACACAAGTAGATAACAATGATGCATGGACAATCAAAAGGTGCAAACCACCAGGATGGATGCTTACAACTCTGCCCTATAATAATCATCTATTGTATGAAGACTCCACAAGTAGATAATGATGCATGGACACTTCAAAAGGTGCAAACCACCAGGATGGATGCTTACAACTCTGCCCTGTTGAGGAACACAGTGTTTTCTATACATTTAAGGAGTCTAATTATTGCTTTTCCTGGGAGATAACTTTTACACCTCATCACAAGTCTGTGCTGCACCATTAGCAATATATTTACCGGCGTTAATGTTTCCAGACTGAAATCTTATCTGACAGATTATCAGGCTGGACAAATTTAAATTATATCAACTCTGCTTCCAACAGCAGCAAGCTTGGCCTTATGCCTAAAAAAAAAACAAAAAAAAAAAAAAAACAAAAAAAAAAAAAAAAAAAAAAAACCAAAAACAGGAAAGTCTGCCTGTTTTCCTCTCTGTTGCGAGGGTTGTGCTAATAATGAAGGGTGGCAAGACTTTCAAACTGCTTTTATCTGCCCCTGGCATGTAATTAATTCCCGGCACTTGTCCTAAAAGCTGCTTGCTTTTAGCAGAGGTGCCCGGACCTGGCTGCGATGAGGGAAGGAGAGCCAGGTCCTGCCGGGGCTGTCCCCTAGGACTGGGTGTGCGGACAGTAGCGGTATGTTTGTGTGTGTGCTTGTGTCCTCTGGCCCTCAAGACCGGTCCTCTGGCCCTCAAGGTCCGTTTGCCCCTGGCCCCCCAAAATTAGCTGTAGGACCTCCGGGCACCTGGGCATCACAGGACATCCTGACCCCGCCAAGTCTCCCACCCTACAGGGGATACTAACCTGGTGATAATGTAAGGACCAAAACAGATCACGAACGACCCTATAAAAATACTGATTTTCTTGGTAGCCCGCTGCCTCCTCCTTTTCTGCTCGTTCAGACAGCGCTGCTTCACACTACGGAGGGAAAAGAGCAGTAAGGGTGTTAAGGCAAGAAGGGAGGAGGTGAGACTTGAGCGCAAGGAAGAGGGGAAGAACCCTCTCCACGCCCGAAAACCCCTGCGCCCGGGAAGGGAAGGGAGAGGAAGGCAGCTTCGAGGGGAGGAGAGCAGCCCGGTCCGGGAGAAGAGCAGCCCCGAGGGGAGGAGGGCAGCCCGGTCCAAGGGAAGGGCAGCCCGGTCCGGGGGAAGGGCAGCCCGAGGGGAGGAGGGCAGCCCCCCCGGGAAGAGGAAGGCACTCCTCTCGGGGAGAGGAGGGCAGCCCGGAGGGAGGGAGGATAGCCCCAGCCCCGCCGAGCCTCGGGACGATCGCGCTCGACAAAGCCGTGCCTCCCGCTTGAAGGGAGCTCAGGCAAGTGGCACAACCCGGAGAGCCCGATTAGCATTCAAACAGAGAAGGCTACAAATGCACAAGTCACCGTTCCTGGCACTGTAAGCAGCGTCTGAAGCTAGAGGCAGGAGCGCTCGCCATGCGGCCGGGGCAGGCAGGAAAGGGTGCTGGGGAGGAGGGATATCGCTTCTGCCCGGGGTGACTACCGCGAGTGACCGGGGGCTGTGAGTCCGAGCGCGCACGATTACCTGGGGTGGATATCCACCAGCAAAACCAGAGTCTGCATGGTAATAATGTCTATCCGCTTGCAGTGGAATCGGGCAACTTTCAACACCTTTAAATAGGTGAAACACAAGATCACCAGAGACAGCATGAAACTGGTGGAGTGAAAGACAATGGTGAACACTGTAAACCTTCTCCTCTCCGTCTCTTCCTTCAGGTGTAAGGTGCAAGAGGCGTAAACGCTGTTGTAATCTACCCATGAGTAAAACAAGGATACCAAGGGGAACGTGAGGGAGTGGAGCCACGAGTAGCCCATCAGTATCACAGCGTCCTTATACCGCATCTTGCTGGTGTAGCTTAGGGGGAACACCACGGCAATCCATTTGTCGATGCTGAGCGCTGCCATGCTCAGCATTGTGTTGGAAGTCAGGAAAGTTTCCAGGAAACCCACCGCCTTGCAGACGCAGCCCCCGAGGGGTTGCTGGTTCCTCAGGATGCCCAGCAGGGTAAAAGGCATGTTCAGAACGGTGAGAAGCAGGTTGCAGAAGGATAAGTTCACCAGGAAAACCCCGGCGACCTGCTTGCGGATCTCCGTACTGTAGACGAAGCATAGCAGCACCAGGAGGTTGGAGAGCAGAGAGACAACCAGCACCAGCACGAGGAGCAGCGCCAGCAGCACGCCTGCCAAGTCCATCTCTCAGCGGGTCGCCTGGAGCGGGCGAGGGCAGGAGGAAGGGGGCACCCGCGCCGGCACCGCAGCCTCGCCTGCCGCCCACCGCGGCCGCCCGCGCATGGTGCCGGCGGCGGGGCAGGGGCCGGGGGCAGCGCCGGGGGCAGCGAGAAGGGCAGGGGCGGGCAGCGGAGCCGAAGGTGCGGAGAGAGGGGCGAGGGGAGCGCGACTGGAGCAGAGGAGGGGGGCCAGGAACAGCGGGGCAGGGGCTCTCTGACAGCAGAGTCAGGCAGCGGGGGGGAGCGCGGCCAGGGGGAGCGTGGCCGGAGCCGAGGGTGGGGGCTCCGGGGCACGCAGCGACCGGATCGGGAGATAGGGGGAGATAGGGGTACCCGAGAATCGGAGCTGGAGATAGGGGGCCCGAGGCGCCCGGAGCCGGGAGGAGCGGGGCCGGCGGCGCGGTGCTGCCCGGCGCTGTCCGCGGTGCTGAAGCGGCGCTGCCCCGACGGCCGCCCCGCGCTGCCTCAAGCCGCCGAGCGCGGCCCCCCCGGCGCCCGGGTCCGCGCCCCCTCCATGCCCCGCCGCGGCTCCGCTCCGCCGGGCGCACGGCCTCCGCAGGCTCTGAGCATCTTCCCCCGCTGCCCAGCCCCTCAAATACTCCAGCCGCGGAGCCTCCCGCAGCGACTCATGCGCAGACGAGCGGCTGCGAGGCACAGGCTCAGCCAGGGATCGCGCCGTAGGGCTGATCCACTCCCGGATCGCAGGCGAGAGCAGCAGGAAGCCCAACTTTCCGCTAGTGTGCAGCTCAGGAAGGATCAGACCTAGAGATGAGTTACAGGGATGAGTCTGATCCCAGCGCTGTGCTCAGGCACACTCTGAGTGCACCAGCTGTATCTGGCGCTCCTGAAACCTGTTCAAAATCTGGCATCTGTGCCCCTTGGCAGGCTTTCCCCATTCCATCTGATGGATTGCTTGCCCTTTTCCCCCTACAATGCTTGGTGTGATTGCCCTCTGGGTATTCACACCGGCATGCTGCTGGCCAGTGAGGGATGTTTCTCGACTGCACTTTGGGTGCTTGGACTCACCAGCTGGTTGAACAAGTACCCACATTAGGGTGATGCTGGCACACTCTGTGCAAAACTAAAGTCTCTCTCTTTACCATTTTCCAGTCACACTGATAACATGGCAGTGTAGTTGTCAGAAAGGTTTTCTCTGTTATCACATTCTGGCAAAAGCTGAAAAGACAGGCAAGAAAGAGAACAGGAGTTCCCCCCTGCAGCTGTCAGAAATATAGATCACGTGGCTAATTCCCAAATGTAATGAATCTTTATCTTAGATTAAAAAAAAAAAAAAAAAAAAAAAAAGAAAAAAAAAGAAAAAAAGAGAGAAAAGAGACTAAGTTTTGGTGCATCAAAATACTGGTACAGAAAAAAGCTGCCATGTCTTATCACTGTCACATTTTACAGTTGATCGCCAGAACTGACACGAAGAAAAAGGTAGCTTTCCTACTATCCAAAATTACTGTTAATATCCTAAGGAAATGCTTTATTGTATATATTGTCCCTTTAGTGTAGCCTTGTCACGCAAGTGTGACCACTGTGTGAATAACTACATAAAACTGCTTGAAAGAGCCTGAAGGCAATGTAGGTTTTGTTGAGCTTTTTTCCCCCAAGAGTAGTTAAAGTTTTGGATCAGGCCCTAATTGAAAAGCTTGCTATGGTAAATTATATGTCTTAAGGAAAGAGCAAAGCAACAAGACATGAGATGTGTTATTTGGAAGTGAACCAGTACAGTACTATTTCTCAGCATGGAAAGAAAATGAATGTTTTCTTTGATCAGAGAGCTGCCATTTCCAAAGTTAAAAAAGTGCAGATACATTTGACAGGGCTTATGCTTGATGAACAAAAATCCAATATATATATCTGTGTAAGCATTTGAGGGGAAAGAAATCTATAAAACATGACAGTACCAGTTTTCTCAGCGTTCAATTGTTGCATTTCTATCATCAGAGAGCCAACACTGTTTGGGAAGGGTTGGGAAGAAATGAACTGTCATGGGAGAACCTGGCTGTATCCTTGTAGAGCAAAGGTTCTGCAATTACTCCCTCTCCCACAGCAGCAACTCTTACAGTTCCTACTAGTCAGAACCCATATATGACCTACCTCTCATTTAACAGTATCACAAGGTTATGGGGCTTTTACGTTACCCAGCTGGGAACAGAGGCTGTCTGAGTAGTGGTGTCACTGTTGGGGCTATTTTATATCATCACAGAGACAACCTAGATGTGCTGTTCCCTTACTGGGATAGCTACCTTCTGAGAAGCTGTTTCTTGGATGCAGACAGAGGACAACTTCTGTCTCTTTCTTTCTCTCTCTCTTCTACACATACATGCATACATAATTTCTCCCATATGGCCTTTTCAAATGAAGAACAAATTGTTTCTCAAAACTGATGCAGAAAGAAAGAATACATTGAAATAGGACAAGAAAATAAAAAGGTGGCAAAAAATGGGAGAAAAATTGTTCTGATTTTTTCAGATGTGCAGTGAGTTTTATAGTACCTTCCAACAATATTCTGGGCTCAAAGAACCCAGTAGAGATCACTTTGTTGGATTTCTCCTTTTGCTTTCAGTGGAACTTTGTTAATGTGATGAGTTAAACGTGCACATAACTTCCTGTAGGATGTGAATCCTCTGCTGACACTTTCCCATTTACAGGCAGCAACCCTGTAACACCTCATGCCAAACACCATTCAGTCTTACTTGCAGCTTATGAGGCTGGAAACAGTCACTTACTGAAGGCTCAGACTTGCTGTGGTGGGCTGCAAATGTGGGCAGTGCCTCCTTAGCCCCTGGAAACACATATACTCCTGCTACCTTTTCACATATAAACAGACATATGCTTATATAGTTTCAAATGCTCACAGCAGCCATACTAAATACATGTATTTTCCCAATCAAGATCTTACAGTATATATCAAGGATGCTGTTTTGGTGGAAACTAGGGACTGTGGAGACTGCTGCAGTTCGATTAAGAAAAGGAAAAATAAAGATGTTCTTGTCAATAATTATCCCTTAATAAACATAGTCCATTTAGTTAACACAGATTAGGTAAGTACTTGAGACTTTTATTCTAACAGCTGCATCATTCATTAAATCTACACATTCATCTGTTCTAAATATTGACCACAACTTATTTGATTTAATGGTGAATGGACTGTATTTGTTGGAAAATAGGGTAAGAATCAAATTCCTTTTTTAGTTTCACTCCAGGAGAGATGTGTCATGCAAATTTCAGTGTACATCAGAACTGCACATAATTCAGTTCTAATCAATGTATTCTGCAAAGGCTAGGAACACATTTAATTTGGTTCTAATTTTAAGAAAGCACCATGAAAGAAGGAAACCTCAAACAAATTATATCAATTAATTTGAAAGTACAGAGAAAAGCAACCCTTTTTCCCTGATTCTCTTATGACAGGTGAAGAGAGGGAAATTAAATTATATTAACCAATATGGGGGGAAATGGAATGACTCATGGAACTGATGTTATGAAAAAAGCTTTCCACTTCTAGGGCACTTGCTAAAAAGTGACCCATTTCAAAAGTGAGTAAGACTGGTTAATACCCACGAGATTTATCAATATGTCCTGTAAATAGATCTGGTACTGGTAGATCCTGACAAGCACAGAGAAATATCTTCTCACTTCCACAATGACTGCAGGTGTGTTATTGTTTTCACATTACATCCAGCTAATGAAGCTTTAGTGAAGTCAGAGTCCATCAAGTCTCAGCAACAACTTTTTTTCTTATTATTCTTTTGTTCTTTTGTTTCCCCTCTTTCTTTTCAGAGGCCTATTTTATTAGGATTTGAACTATAGAGTCTTTGAGCAAGCAGAGCTATTACACAAATATAGATTTTATTCTTTCTGGAACAATGAGACAAATAAGCAAGCAGATAGTAGTATTGTGACAAGTGACATCCTGTTAGTCCCTAAAGAAAAGATTTGAAGCCTGACCCATCAGTCTAATGCAATTCTAAAAGACTGCTCCTGTGGCAGAATTCCAGTAGGCGCATTTACCACCTGTGGAATAACTTTGTCCTAAAGATCTTCCTAAAATGGAACAAAGAAAAACTCCACGTGTGTGAAGCCCACACATTCCTTCACTAAGCCTCTACTTTTCAGGGAAAAATTTTGGAGCAAAAATATGAAGCTCAGCCATGCCACAGTTCTGCAGACTGAAATTGCTTCAAAATTGCCTAAGTACTATATTGAGGAATCTCAAATTTCAACAGATAATCTTGTAACTGTATCAAAAGTCGACACTCACAAAAACATTTTGAGTCATATTTTTTGTTTATGCAAACTAGATATATTCCTACAGTCTCCAAAAATTGATCTCAAAATTATTCCATAAGACAATATTTTATTTTGAAAGATGGAGGGAAACAGAGCTGGTGAAGGGTCTGGAGCACAAATCTTATGAGTGGCTGGGGGAGCTGGAGTTGTTTGGCCTGGGAAAATGAGACACATGGAGAACCTTATCAGTCTCTGCAACTACCTGAAAAGAAGTTGTAGACAGGTGGGGGTCAGTCACTTCTGCCAGGTAACAAGTGACAGGATGAGAGGAAATGGCCTCAAGTTGTACCAGCTGAGGTTTAGATTGGACAGTAGGAATAATTTCTTCACCAAAAGTGTTGTCAAGCATTGAAATGGGCTGCCCAGGGAAAGGTTGACACATCATCCCTGGAGGTATTTAAAAGGTGTCTAAATATCTTTTAAATGTAGGTGTGGCACTGAGGGATGTGGTTAAATGGGGACTTGGCAGTCCCGGGTTAACAGCTGTACTCAATGATCCTGAGGGTCGTTTCCAACCTAAGGGATTCTATGATTCTATTCTTGACATTCTTCATGGAAATGGAAGTGCACAAGTACTGGAAGATGACAGGAAAACAAAAAACATTCACAGAAACTCAGCCAGTTTCAGTTGACATACAATTCTAAAAATAGTTATGTATGGATGTG